CCCCGCCGGTCCCAAGACTGGTAAGTCGACGCCTTTGCCTCTGTTCACCTTTGTACTTTTTTCTTTGATCTGACCTTTTGGTGTTGGTGGATAGTGTTCTTCTGGGCGCCTTTGATGAAGTGGTGTCTCGTGGCGGCTGGATTGAAGGATCTCTCGCGACCGGCGGACAAGATCTCGGTGCCGCAGAACGTCGCGCTTGCAGCAACGGGCATGATCTGGGTGCGCTACTCGCTCGTCATCACCCCCGTCAACTACTCGCTCGCCGCAGTCAACTTCTTCGTAGGCTGTTCCGGTCTCGCTCAGCTCTACCGCGTCTGGGACTTCCGCAGGCAACATCCCGTCCAGGCAGCTATCACCGATAAGACCAACCAGGCCGCCAACAAGGTCTCGAAAGAATCGCTGCCCCTCACCTCCAAGTAAACGTCTTGGTCCAGCCTTCACTGCGCATTGTAACATAAACCTCTTGCCGCTCTCGAGAATTCCGCATGCTTTCCTCAAAAACCTCTTCCACCGGCAGTGTACATCGGGCGCTGCGCAAGGACAAGGTGGTTGCGTTGGGTCTAGCAGGGACGCGCGGGGTCTACATGTTGGTGGTGGGCAGTCCGGCTTGAACGGTGACATCTTCCACAGGCGGCACACCTGTGGAGCCCAGCACATGTTCCACGCCGCCAGGCACATTTCGCAGGGCCTCCTGCTCCTCTAAGGACCGTGTGAGCATGAATCCCGCATATCCTATCGCCACACCAAGGCCAAATCCGTCAGTCCGCAGGGCTCCATTGTTCGATACTACGCGTGTACAACTTACCGAGGGAATTGATCGAGAGGCTACCGATCTTGCCGTCCGAGTCGGTCTTGCTGGGGAGTTGGTCGTACTCCTCGTGCGCGCGCGGGATGAGGTGCATCGCCCGCCGCGTGATCAGCACGTTAAACGCCGGCCTACCCGTGGCTGCCTCTGGCGGGCCAAACATGCGTGCGCGGAACAGCGCATCGAGCAAGCCCATGAACTTGTTGCCGATATACTGCTCCATCTCCGCTTCGCTCGTACGGGCTGCAGAGGACGGGCTTAGCAACGCCACAAAGTGCTGCCACGGCAGAGGCAGCGCATGCACCGCGTCGTGTTCCTTTCCGTCGCGCTCGATACGGTCCAGCAGGGCCTCGACGGGTACCTTGTGTTGTGCGTCGATGATACGGTCCTGTTCATCCTGCGTGATGCGGCCCTTTTCCACAGCCTCTTGCGAGGTAGTATCGAGCGGGGGGCACTGGACGAACTGCAGGTGGCGGTGCGGTTGGCTTGCACCCGCCGTGGCACCGCAGTTGTAGAACGCAAGCAGCTCCGTTTCGCCTGACCTGTGCGCAGCCACGATCCTGTACGCAAGCGACAGCGTGGCCGGAGAAGGTGGCAGATCCTGAGACGCCCACTCGCGCGTCACCATGAGAAAGTGCTGCGGCACCACGCAGAACTTGTTCAGCAGCATCACATGCTCGCCCACATCCTTCACGTGCAGGTTGGGCACGTACGGCGGCGCGAACACGTCGCTCTTGTTCTGCTCCGGCTTGCTCTCCGACTTGCTCTCCGAAGCGCCTTTGTTGTCCGAAGGCTTCTTGAGCAGCGCAGGAACCGTACGGATCTGCCACGCCACCCCGGACGCCTCCGACTCCTGCAGGCTGATCTTGTCCGAGGGATAGAAGAAGGCATCGCCCGCAGAGATCGCCACGTCGAACTTCTTGCGCACCGACGCGGCGAGCGTCTTGAGCTCCGAGTCCGCCACGGTGCCGGCCGACGACATGGTGCGGAAGAACGAGCCGGTGCGAGGCGTGGAGGTTGCGAGCGATGAGATGCACAATGCAGGGGAAAGAGCAGATCTAGAGGGTAGCAAGGAAGCGATCGAGCGCAAGGTGCGTCTGCTCATGTATCAACGACAGCTTCGAGGTGGTGTAGACAGTCTGAACGGTGCGAGTGAGGAGGACGACGAGAAGCAGGGCTTCGCTTTCGTCACGCCAGACCAACACTCGGAAAAAAATCCCTCCACATGTTAGGTCCGCAAGCCGCCTCCTCCTCGTCACCACGCATGCCCATCCTCCTTCACTCTTCAGCATGCACGGCTCGCACACAGAGGCGTTCACATGACTTCCGAGACACTCTACACCTGTATGCGATTGATTTATGTGCTGCTACCACGCGTAGAACGACATCGACTGTGCCGACGGCTGTCGCTGCTGCCTCACGAGCTCGGCGCGCCTAGCCTCGTGTGGATAGCTGTCGGCCTCCGCCACCTCGACCTCGACACCCCTACTTGCACGCACCAGCTCCACCGTCTCATCCCTCGATCCAAAACCTTGCTCCTCTGCGCCTCTGTTTCCCGGCTGGGGTACTGGCGATTTGGACCCGATCCAGCCCTGCGCCGGCAACAGATCGAGCGTCTGCCTATGCCTCGGCCCCTCCACTGGCGGGGCATCTCTCAGCTCCTGGAATCCTGGTGAGGTAGGCGACGATGCAGGCGAGCAGCCAAAGAGCCGCTCGAAGCGGTCCTGTGCTGTTTCGGCGACCGGATCGGCACGGCAGGGCTGCGAGGACTCGGCTGTGGACCGGGCGATGAGGAACGAGAGCCACGAACTGCGCTCCCTCGGCGTCGGCGTGTCAATCGCATCCCGGTGGTAGGGAGGCGAAGCAGCGTCTTGTGCCGAAATCGGGCTGTTGGCGAAGCGCGGAGAGGAGGACTGCACAGCCGTGCTGAGCGAGTGGTGGATCTGGAACGGATACGAGATGCTGTCCTTGGCGATGTGGCCGCGTCCAGCCATGCGGGCAGAGTCGACGATCGAGCCGCCACGCACACTTCTGCCGGCGTCAGCAACGACGGCAACTTGCATCTGCTGGCCTTCATCCGAGGCCGTACGATTGGAGCGCTGCGATCTCGTGGGGAAGCGCAACCATCCTGGCCCCGTAGATGTGGGGCCGCGAGGCTTTTCTGCATCTCCGCCCGCCGCATCGCCCTCTCCTTTCTGGACATGCCAGCCATCTGCAATCGTCGCATACACAACCACCAGAATCCCACCCACAGCCACGACCACCCACACGGCAGTAAGCACCGCAAAGAGCACCTTTTCCTGCTCGAGATGGTGCAGATACTTGCCGACCACCTGACCTGCCAACCCACTGCCGTCCGTACCATCCCCCACCAACGCCGACCTGATCGGATGCAGCACTACATCCTTCTGCAGCGCCGACGGCACAAACACATCGTCCGGCACAAGGCTGAACTCGACGTGTGCATTGTTGTGGATCCACGTGAGCGCCTTTTCGATCCCAGCCACCTTTTGTCCCAGAATGCACTGGACGAACGTCTGGAGGGGTGCGTTGAACGGCGTGCCTCCGAACGTGGTGGTGAGCGTGTCGGTGATGCCGTCGACGAACTGGTTGAGCGTGGCGTTCATGGTGAGCGTGGTGGTGTCGACCCAGCGGAAGACGTGCGTGTTGAGCTCGTCCGACACCTCGGTGATGAGCGCGTTGGCGGTGGTGGCAAAGGCGACCGAGGCGTTGCGCGCGGATGACTCGACGAGACCGAGCACTTGGGACGAGAGGTGCGTGAGCGTGTCGTCGAGCTCGGAGGTGTAGCGGTGCGTGATGCGACGGATGAGCAGTGTTTGCACCCACACGCAGAGTAGACCGAGCAGGCCCGTGAAGAGACAGGCGAGCGCTGCTGGGTGCGAGAGCAGCGCACCGAGCCACAACAGTCGGTCTTGCGCCCAGCGAGAACGCACACCGAGACGTCGACTTGCGCCCGAGATGAGAGAGTGCGCCAGTGGACTGCGCGAGATCGAGACTAGCCTTCTGACGTCGTCCTCTCCCAACTCTTTCCCGCTCGATTGGCGGTCGTCCTTCTCGGTGTAAGAGTGCTGCTGCTGCGTGTGCCACAGTGCGGTGGTCCTCTTGATTCCCTGCTGCTCCTTGTGCCACGCACACCACTCGCGCGCCGCCGACACGAGCACCACCGCCAGCGCCACGACCGCCAGCATCGCCATGGCCCACCTTGCTGCCACCGCCAGCTCGTGTCCTAACCTATCGATCGGCGAAGTGTCGATCTTCTGACAGAACGACAGGTTCTGCATCTGCGGCACGGGCAGCATCGTGTGATTGAAGCTAAACCCAGCAATGGTGGCATTGACGTCCTTGCGCATCTGCTCAAACGGCGTCTGGATGAGCTGGTTCATCGTCTGCCTCAGCTGCTGCAGCGTCGGCAGCGTCTCGTTGAGCTTCGCCAGTCCGTCCTGGATCTCGTGTGGGAGCTCTACGTTCTGCAGTGCTGCCAGACTGGGCACAGCGATGGAGGGGGCGTTGAGGTGCTGGCCAAACACGCCGACAACATCGTTGATCCCCTGCACCGCTGTGGCGAGCACCGCGTTGACGCCTTGTACCGACTCCTGGATGGCTGCGCGTATGCCCTGAGCTGCGGCATTGACGGCTTGCGAGATGAGCTGGACAGCGCTGATGAGCACCGCAAGAGCCCCGCGCACAAGAAGCTCCATGAAGCACAGCAGCAAGGAGCGGTACGAGTTGACCATGTACGCCAGCGTCTTTTCGATTGCGGTGAGCGATAGATCGAACACGCGCGCGGCGCCGTGCACCGTAGCTTCGATCGACTGTGCGATTTGGGCGTTGACGGTTGCGGCAGTGAGGGAAGGGAGCGAGGCGGCGAGAGAGGCGCGGTCTTCGACTGCATCGCACGCTGCGAGCAGCTTGGTCTTGGTAGACGCCACCGAGTTGGTCACGTCCGAGGCGGACATGAGCACGCGTGCTCCCACAAAGAGCACAGCAATCATTGCCACCGATATGGGAGATAGGATGAGGCGCGCACGCAGCCCAAGCCAGGGCTCAAGTGTAGGTGAGCGCTCGCGCATATCGCGAGCAGAGCCAGTCTGATGGTCGTGTAGGGTCGATGCGGATGGGTGGTCGTGGTACGACGGCGGTACGTCTGTGTGGTGCCTTTCTGGCGGATAGGACATGGCTGCCGACGTTCAGGTACAGTGCACTGTAGATGATGGTACCGTCGAATGGCAGCCTTTAAGCTTGGCCCTAACGAGGACTGAGTGGTGTGCAGCAGCGCCCTGGGCAGGCGCGCCTGGCCACCGCTCGTGGGAGCGCGAGGCATAACGAGGGCAACGACGACAAAGGGACGCACGATTGAGCATGGTCGAGTCCCTTTGTGCCTGGCGGCGCCGCTTTCAGTGTTGGACAGGTCCATGTCGGCTCCTTTGTCTCGCGCTGGTCTTGGGCACAAAGGGAATACGCCGTTGTCGCCGCTGCACGCTTATGAGCCGCGGCAAGCTTGATCCTGGACCCACCCGGTCCCCACCCTAGTCTCCGGCTTACTGCAACCAGCTTTTACGTACGTTGCAACGAAAACCGTCTCTCGAGAGGGCAGCAGCTTCACTTATGTCGGCAGCTGTTGTTGGCGGTATGGAAAGAGAGCGGAGTTGGACGCTGGACCCTGCATATTCATGGTTGCGCGTGCAGCCGCCTCTCCCACTCTTGGCCATCAACCCATCGTGCCTATTCCGCGATGTGACCTCATGCTACGATGCTACGATGGCGAGTCTTTTCTTTCGGCACGGGCATTGAGCACAGCGTGTGCGTGTGTCTGCACACGATTGCCTTGCACCGGCCCGTGAACATGATTGTCCAGCCTGCACCCGCGCCTCTAGAGCTTGGTTGAGGCTCACCTCTCGCGCATCCCTTGCTCCTTTCTGCTCGATGCTCGACGTTCTTCCTCTCGCACTCGCAAGTGTAGCTTGCTGTGTGCGATGCTTGGTGGCTGCGCTTCTGGCTGCCCTCGTTGCCGAGTGTGCGTCGAGGCTTCCACAAATGCCGGCAGCGGTGCGAGCAAAAGACGCACTCGCGTAGCACACTCGTTCCAGCGGACGTAGTGAGCAGTGTGACGACCGCAGCACACGTGTTCCCAGCCGGAGCGTAGCCAGCTTGCTAGCTGCACTTGACGTCGAGGCGGAGCTACGGCTAGTCCAGCTCATCGTCCCGAGCGGTGGCAAGTCGAGTTGAGCGTGGGCCTGCAGGGGCTCGTGCACGGCTGGCGTACATGAGTCCGAATGTGCCACCGTGCAGCAGTGTGCATCTGTGCGCCTACGCCATGCAGCATTGTTGGTCGTGACAAAGACAGACGCAACAGTACAGCCGTGTGTTGTTGGAGGTGTTGAAGACCTCCTTTCTCGCGCGACGTGGAGACCAACACTTTTTTCCTCGCCAAACCAAAATCGGCTTCCTTCCACCACACCATCTCTCACCACACCGTTGCCAGAACGGAAAGGGGGTTTGGAGCAATGTCGTCTGCACTCCGCTTCGTCGTGCACGGTCTGCTGGCCACGCTGGTCTACACTGCATACCGCTTCTACACACCCAGCACGGGCACCACGCTCGACCACGCCTCTTCCGGCTCACTTGGTGCGGGGGTGGCACTTTCCGACGGTCGTCAGTCGATCCACCGTCGCACGGTCGCAGTTGCCGATCTGCACGGCGACCTGCAACATGCACTCAACGTCCTCTCCATGGCATCTCTTATTTCGGGCTCTGGGGATTCGATCGCCTGGACGGGCGGACACGATGTGCTCGTCTCCACAGGGGATATAGTCGATCGCGGGGATGATACAATCGCCCTCTACCGGCTCTTCCAGACTCTGCGCGCACAGGCCACCCGCGCGGGGGGCAAGGTGGTGAACCTGCTGGGTAATCACGAGTTTATGAACGCGCTCGGCGACTGGCGCTACGTTACGCAGGGGGATGTCAAGTCGTTCGGAGGCGTGCAACCACGTCGTGACGCCATGTCGGATCGCGGTTGGATCGGTAAAGACTGGTTGGACCACTACAACGTCACTGCGGTCGTTCCTCTGCTGCCACCCGACCACCCCGCATTGCCCAAAGGCTATACACCGCCGTCAGCGAGCTTTGTACATGGAGGTATCACCCCCACCTACGCCGCACGCGGAGTCGACACGATCAACACCATCGGCAAATCCCTCCTGCACAAGGCGCTGTCCAACCCCTCGCCTTCATGGCTTCCTCCAGACGTCTCGGACGAAGAACGAGAGCTGTGGTCCGAAAACGGTCCGCTTTGGTACCGCGGTTACGCCACCAATCCCCCCAACCAGGCCTGTCCAGATGCCAACGCAGCACGCGCCAGTCTGGGCGTAGCACACCTCGTCATGGGCCACACGCCGCATTTCGACGGCTTCGTAACAAGGTGCAACTCCTCCCTCCTCCTCATCGACACCGGCATCTCCCGTGCCTACGGCGGCGAACAATCCGCCCTCATCATAGATACCCACCTCCAACCCACCCCCAACCTCCCCAACCAGTGGTCCGAGCTGCAAACCCTCACCGCTCTCTACAAAGGTCGCTTGCCCAAAATCCTCGTCTCCTCCCAACGCCACATCCACCTCCAATAGCACACGCCTCTCCAACAGCACGCAACATCGAGGCGGCAACAACGGTGACATTGATAAAAGAGCGACGTGAGAGTTGGACTTGAACGAACGTAGAGGTGTGTCAAAGAAAGAACGTGTGTGTGTGTGGAACGAACCCCCGAATAGCAAAAGAGAATGTCACAGCCCCGCCACACGATGGGCGGCTGGTGGATAAAGGATCGTGGTGGCGAATTATTAAACGCCGGCAGAACGCTAACGCAGCTCCTGCCTTCTAACTGGAAGAAAAGGGATGTACGTGTCCACTACGTGGACGGGTATAGCCCTCTGTCTCAGCCCAGCGCGACTCGCGCCGGCGGACAAAGGTTCTCGATTCGCAAGTTAAGACCGGTGCGACGCCGGCTCAAAGAACGTGGTGAAGCGCTTGATCTTCTTGAGCCGCGCCTGGTGCTTGGTCTCCTCGCTTCCCGACAGGCTGGGCGACGCCGCCGAGCGCCGGTTCAGCTGCGTGTTGGACGACGCCGACAGCGCCGACGCCCTTCCTCCGCTCGCCGCCAGCTTCTCGGCCACCTGCTCGACCGGCGTATCGCGCGCATCGCCCTGCTCGGCCTGCGCGATCGTGTTGGCGCTGCTCGCCGCCGTCAGCTCGCCGCGCGACGCCCTGGACCGCATCGACGCGCCGCCGTGGCCCTCGCGCCGCTTGCCCAGCCGGTTGAACGGCCGGCTCGACGTCGACGAGTGGCTGCCCGACGCCGGGATGCGCGACGTGTCCTGTCGGCGCAGCAGCCGGTACGTGTCCACCACGCCGCGCGCAAACAGATTCGTGCCCTTGCCGCCGTTGAGCTCCGACTTGAGCTCGCCGTCCGGACCCGAGAGCTCGACCATATCCCAGTCGTCGTCCTCGTGGTCGCTCTCGCGGATCACGCCGTGGCTCGGTCGCCCCACCGCCGACGGAGCCACCTTGCGCGGCGCGCCCGTGCGGCTGGCGTACGAACTTGCCGGCGAGCTCTGCACCTGGCTCGCCGAATGGTCGCTGTGCGAGTCGGATGCCGTCGTCGTCGCCTCGCGGCTGTGTGCCGTCGCTCCAGCCACCGACGCCGCCTCCATGCTCGCCTCGTGCTCCAACTGAGCCAGCACGGCCGCGGCGGTGCGCACATCCGAGTCGTCCTCTTCCTCCTCGGCGATGGCGACGTCGGCGATCGAAGACTGCACCGCCTCGGACGCTGCCGACTTGCGCACCTCGCCCATAGCCGCCTGGTGATTCACAGCCGTCGTAGCCGCAGGTGCAGCCAGCGCCGTGGGAGCGATCGAGGCGGCGTCCACGCTCGAGGCGGCCGTCGCTGACGACATCTTGGTGCTTCGCTTTGTAGGTGAGCTTGGGGCAGCACCCGCTTCGGACGGTTCCTCTGGCTGATCAGCCGACACGAGCGAGCTGATCGACTCCGAGTCCTTGCGGCCGCGGAACGAGTAGCCGTCAAAGAGGTTGCTGTGCTCCGACGCCTCGCGGTCGTCCATGCTCTGATCCGGCGTGGCTTCAAGACCGGCGTCAGTCGCACCAAAGGCCCCATCGACGGTCTCGTCCGCCTTGACGCCGTTGGCGTCTGCCTCGGCCTCGCCAGCGTTGGCGTCCAGGCTGGGATCCGTCTCGTGCGCCACGGTGGGCTGCATCTCGAGGAAGGTCTCGTCAAAGTTCTGCGTGTCGATCTCGTTGTCCGGGTCGATGGGCGGGATGTAGGGCGGGATGTATCGCTTGTGGAAGATGTGGTCCCACTCGATCATGGAAAAGTACGGATGCTTCTTGATCCGCGGCTCCTTCATGCGCAGCTGCGGGTTGCGCTGCAGCAGACCCCGCAGGATGCTCTTGGTATCCTGGTCCAGCACGCGGTCCTCGGGGAAGACGAGCGGATCGCGCAGCACCTTTGCGTACATGTCGGCGTGCGTCTCTGCCCAGAAGGGGGTGATTCCGGTGAGCATCTCGTAGAGCATGGTGCCGAAGCTCCACCAGTCGACTTCGTACGAGTACGGCTGGCCCTGGAGCACCTCGGGCGCGAGGTACTCGGCGGTGCCGCAAAAGGTGGTGGTGGTCTGGCGCTCGTCGAGCCAGCGAGTGGACGACGACCGGGAGGGGGCTTCGGATGCGTCGTCCGAGGCGGACATCCAGTGTGCGGATCTGGACTTGGGCACGCTGGCGCTGGAATGCGAACGGCCGGGCGAGGTGGGCGGAGGCGTGACGCTGCCGATGGAGCGACTGCGGCTGCTGAACTCCTTGGAGAGGCCAAAGTCGGAGAGCACAATGTGGCCGTCGGCACCGATGAGAACGTTTTCGGGCTTGAGGTCGCGATAGATGACACCGGCCTTGTGCAGGCCTTCGACGCCCTCGACGATTTCGGCGGCGTAGAAGCGCGCACGGTCGCGGCCGAGACGGCCCCATCGGGAGAGCTGGGTGGCGAGATCGCCTCCCGGGTGGAAGTCCATGACGAGGTAGAGGTTGTTGCGGTCGTGGAAGGACCACCAGAGACGCACGACGAACGGGTCGAGCACGTCCTTGGCCATGCGCTTGAGGACGGACTGTTCGGTGAGTGTGTGCTGGAGCTCCTGGTGGGCGAGTACGTGGCGCTTGTGGATCGACTTCATGGCGTAGAGGCCGCGCGATGCCGAGTGGCGGACGAGGAGCACCTTGCCGGCACAACCCTTGCCGAGCACGCGGATCATCTCAAAGTCGTCGACGGTGACCTTGTTGGAGCCCTTGCGGCGATGGTGGGGGCGCTTCTTGAGCGATCGCGCCTCGCCGAGCTCGGTCTCGGTGTTGGCTTCCGAGTCGTCGGCG